TGTCACTGGTGTGGCTGCAGTCCATTAGCTAACTTAACTTTATACCCATAAAGCTGAAAGAGCTACCCAGAATTTTTTATATCCCCTATCTGGAAAAGGCAGTAAGAGAGCCATAGACTTATGTTTATTATATGCCGGGACTGTAACAACTGCAATGGGATTAGGATATGGAGCAGCAACGCAATGCACAGCACAGGTCACATTCCCCTGGTGATTTCAAGGTTCGGTCTTTCTCCAATTTAATTTAGAAAGCAACTCAAAGCCCACCACAGGATTTCAAAGCAAGGCAGTAACTGGAGATCACAAATTTAAAATCTAGTGCTCACCAAGCAAACAAACTAAGGAATACAAATAACTTTTCTTTCAGTTTTTCTTTTAAGATTAACTTCTTGGCTAGATTCACTTTGTGGTAGCACTCAGCATCAGGGGCTTCTACCACCCTGCACAAAAGGATTAATGAATCCTTCCAGACAACGTACAGAGCCACCTCACAAGGCTCTCTAAACCAGTGACACTACACACTTCCTTTATTCAAAGGCCCCAAACCCCTCTTTTCCTAGATTGTTGTTCATGAAAATACAACACACGTTCACAAAGAAGTACAGGGAAGCTCATCTGAGGTACAGCAGTCTCCTCAAGGCTTAGCATGCCAAGAGAATCAGTCACCTTGATGAAAAGATAGGGATGAACCAAGAATGTAACAGGTTACTTACTGTGCAACCTTGCTCCTGTGATGCATCCGCATCCGTTTCAAGTTTAGCATGGATGCTAAAGAGTGACTTTTCTCTGAGACTGCAGTATAGATTTAGTTACAGCTCCAGTAATGATAGTACTGTCAATTCACTTTGCCGTCTGTTGTCTGGCGTTGTGCTATTTAGTAAGCTACGATGGTGCAGTGTGCCAGAAAATACCAACAAGTAAAGTAACGCTTGTTTAAATGATGTTACTTACAAACAATTAATCAAATCAGCTTCTGTTGTTCTCTGACCAGTACACATGCAGATTTGATCCTAAGGCAAGCAAGCAATATACGCATCAGGACCAAACAAATAACCCACAACCACTGCACAGCCTGCACCACTGTAAGATAGTGCTTTGGATTATAGAGACTTTACTAACCAGTAAGAACCAGTGTCATCTACATTTTGAATTTCTAGTATATTAACCATGCTCCAGGTGCAGCAGTCATTAACACGTGGCAGCCAGGAGCTCCAGTTCATACTGGATAAAACAGAACATTTGTTAAAAAAAACAAGGATTACAAAAATAAAAGCATGATTTCCTGATGGTCTCCCTGAATCACAGTCACCTAAATAAAGCTTCAATCCAGGAAAAGCTTAGCAGGAAAGCAATCTTTTTTTTTTTTTAAATGTGTTAAAAAAAAAAAAAAAAAAGACCAGGAACTACAAGTAAACAGCAGCTGAGCAACAGATGAGGCACTAAGTGAAATCTGTTAGCAACTGCTAACAGCTTTGCTATTTTCTGTTGTTAAATTTAAAAAAAAAAATGAAAAGGGAAAAAAAGAAGCAAAAACCCAATGCAGAAGCAATTCCAATATGTTCAAAAATCTCAGCTACAAAAGACTAAAGGCCCTTCTTATACTACAGATAAATACTTGGGTTTGTCTTAGTATCTTGATATGCTTTGCTATTGATTAAAGGCAGAAAAAGGCCAATTCACAGGGATATATCATCAAGATAAAACTTCGTATAGATGTAAACATGACCATAGTATAATACAAATCCTCTGTCACAGACAAGTGGGATGTTTCTAGCAGCTACATCAGACTCCAGTTCTCTTTCCCATCTGACTCCTAGCCATTCTGCAGACAGTACAGTGTGCCTTCATTAGCACTGAGCTTTCTGGTGAAAGCTCAAACATTTTCATTGCTTTTCTGGCCAGGGAGCTTTCACCACAGATGATCCTTCCTGACTTACCTCAACCCAATTCTGCAAGCAGAGAAGAAATAGCTCTGAACAAAGCAGCCCAGAAAAAATGAGAAATATGAACGTATCAGTGTGGTTCTCATCATGATCAAATGACTGCAGTCATTAGAATAGACTAAAAGTTCATGGCATTGCACTGTCCCAGGTAGATAAATCCTTGTCACACCTCTGCCACCAGCTTTATGAGCCCATTTTCTCCTGGCAGCCCAGCAGGGGCTGCACTCCCTATCCCTCACTTTGGAGAAGTGTCCCACTTGTGGAACCACAAAACAACTACCACCACATCTGCGGCAGGCACGCCACAGATTTCCTTCTCCACCCAGCTTTCTGCTCCCTTATGGTGTTTACACCTCCAGTGCTTCCTATGGCAGGCTTCCTTTCCAATTTAAACTCAGCATGTCAAAAACTGAGCTTCTATCTGTTTCTAAATCCTTCTTTCTACTTTTCTCTTAAAACCACCAAGAATTAGTAGTCACCTTGCCTGCTGCAGAAGCTCACAACTTTGTCATACACAGCTCCTCTTTTTTCCTTCTGCAGATGTTCTACCAATAAAACATGCCAGTTTCATCTCTACTGTGTCATAAAAAAGTCTGGCTGTTTCTTTCCATCCGTGCTGCTAAAATACTTGATCATTTAAGCCTTCTTACTGCAAAGTCTCATCTCTAGTCCGCCTGACAGTCTCCTCACTCTTCACAGCAGTGCAAAACTCTAGTGTCAAAAATACCTCTTGAATCTAGCATTTATTCAGTGTTCAAGCCTTTCACTGATTTTTTTTTCCCATTCTTTCCTTTAAAAAAGTATTCAAATTCACTGTTTTTGTTTTTCACAACACCAGCAGCAGTTTTTCCCTGAAAAAATACCAGTCTGGTTTTGTTCTTCTTGAGCTCATGTGGTCCCTCCAATTCTTTTGCAAAGCCATGCTGTTTGCCTTTGTTCCATCTTTACAGGTCATTTCCCTTCTTTCACTTTTGACATGGCTGGGGGTCCCCTAGGTCTCCCATTTTCTCATGAAGGAAATTTGTTTTGAAAAACAATTTTGTAAATTCTGGGATGAAACACTCACAAGGCCAAAGAACCTCCAAAAGCATGCTAGCCAAGCTGTTTGCTCTCACAAAGCTCTTAGAAGCTCTTCTATAACACCTTCCCACCATCTCTGTGACCCTGTACAGATTTTCAGTGGTGTGGGACAGAAATTCGCATTTGTGTTGCCATACACATAAATAAATATGAACAACCATCACTGTTGGCTGGGAAGACAAATGGAATAAAAAACACGCATATGAAAGGAACAGATGTGTAAAGATTGTGTACAACCAGAATGTGAAATACAATCTGAAAAAGTGAATCACTGAGAATGGTAACCTATTGTTCTCAACTTTGCATATTGATTGTTATCGAATTTTTTGTCAACTGCAGTCACTTGCCTTGGATTCTGATGTCACCCCCTGCTCTTTCTGGGTCAAGCATTATGCTTCCAAAAGATAGACCTTGCACTCCAAATTTAATCAATTCTCCTAGCAATACACAAACCAGAACATTTCTGTTTTTGTCAGACCTCTCCTCTTCTCACAGTCCCATCCACTCCAAACAGTTAAAATGAATGGAAACAGACATAAAGCTAAACACATACAAAAAGAGCTGCTGAAGTCACTCTCCTAATTATTATTCAGTGTTTTGACTGCAGTTCCATGTTAAGCCCCATTTCTTTAAGCAGTATGAACACAAATGCACGTGCAATGCACAGGTGTATGTGCCTCTCCAGCATTACTAAAGAGCCCCATTTGAATGCAGACTGTACCTTCATCTTACTTACATTAACAACTACTGAAATCATACAAGTTTGGCACATAACGATGCCTGTATATTTTTGAAAATATCTCCCCAATTTATGGATTCCTTTTGATGATATATGGAAGCAAGACAGCTAAAAGTTTTCATGTCAGTGTAACACAAACCATTCAGCTCCAGAGACATATCAACAGAGAGTTGCAATGCGAGCTTACGTAGCAGTGTCCTAATGAACATCAGTGCAGACTGAATGATGCCACACAACAATTTCTTAATTACAAATTAAATACATCTTTAACTACACAACAGTTGCGGCTTCTGTGTTTACCTGGCTTGTCTAAAATAGAGCATGATAGGAAATGTCAGTTCTAGAGTCAGCTGGGATGGAAAAGACCTTTAAGATCATCGAGCCCAATTATCAGCCCAGTGTCCTAAAGCTAACAGTATTTTTGTCAGAGGTAACCACATGATCATATAGTCAAATAACCTCTTAATATAGGAGACAATTAAATTTCATTCATATGCATATTAACTGTAAATATCACTTAAATTAAATGCTTTTCTACTCAACAGACTGAACAGGTACCAGAGGCAGTGGTGACAGCAAGCAGAGTGACTATGTCACCAAAGTCTACAGCAGCAATAAGGAAATGTTGAGATGAGTTTTGTCTAGTCTCTGATCAGAGACATGAAACCAATCAAAAGCCAAAACTGTTTGGAGGAAATCCAAACAATTGTGTGTCAAAAAGGGAGGATAACAATCTCTGGGCCACTGCAGACAATGGTTGAAGCTGTGAAGTAAAGATTTTATCATAGCTAGTAGTTTCCAGTAGCAGCAAATGTCACATGTGTTTATTGTAGCACAAGCAATTCTGCTCTCTCCCAACGCCTGTGAAGAAAGCAGACAAGCAAGGGAAGAGGAGGCAAATGTCTGAATATGGGAGTGGGTCACATGTGACTCAGAAATATTCCCCACAAAACCTACGCCCCACACACATGCTTGTTTTAAGCCTGAAACCTTGATTATTTTTTTTTTCTGGCATATGGGAATGAATTTCAAAGGCACAAAAAGACATTTTGTCTGCCAAATGTCATCTGCCTCAGCCACAAGTTTGGTGTAAAAGTATAAACTGCTTTCTTTTTAAATAACATAAACATTATTTTGAGTCCAAATGAAATAATTTTTCCACTACTTTATGAGAGCACCATTTGTTTCACATGTCATAATGAGCATGGCTGGCTGTTTTGCTTTTTAAAATGACATACCTCAACATGACACCAAAGCCTTTCTTCTTTTTCTTTTCTGGATCTTCATTTTCTTCTTTCCTTTTCTTCTCTTTGATTTTAGTTTTGCCCTTTTCTTTTTTCTTCTCTTTCTCTCTATTTTTTTTGTCTTTTTTCACTTTGGTTTCAACATCTTCTGTTTCAGGGTTCCCTGGAGGGACAGATTCCATGTTCTGAGCTTCTTGACCTGAGTGAGAGCTCTTATCAGAGAAACCATCTGCAGAAGAAAGAAATAATGGGGATAAGTAAGGGGCCACCAAAATGCAAACACATGAAATACAGCACAGGTGTATAGAAGGTGCTCAAATGACTCACAAAACATACTTATTTAATTGAATAATGTAAAAAGCAGACTAAACATATCTAGTGAATTCAAGCAAAGTTCTACTGTAAATTAAATACAGAATAATTATAGTGACTTGTTATTGAGTATTAATCCTGACAAGAAAACCTGACGTGGTAAAACAGTACACTGCTTGAAATCTGGCTTATCCACCAGCTCAAGAAAACTGATATGCCAAGTTGCAAACATTTCATCGTGTTCTTGCTTCAACTAGAGACTGTAGTAACTGAATAAAACCAACCCAGTAAAAATATGATCTCATTCACTCTTTGGAATCTTCCCACTTTAATATAGCTGAAGAAGAAATAGACAAACCGTTCTGCCTGACTGAAGAAGACCTGTGTTGTTTCTGTTTGGGGGCTCAGGATCCAAGCACAGTTTTATGCTTCGTGATAAAGGAGACATTATTTCCAAAATGGGGTCTTTAAGAGCATGGTGACAGAATGAATGAGCAGCAGGGTGCTATCAACACACTGCCTTGCCTATACCAGGGAATGAATTTCCTAGTTGAAGGGGAATTGTAGACAGCTCCGTAAAATAAGCAAGATAATTTTTAGTGTAATCTGAAGAAGGCAGCTGCTTCTTAAAGTTGAAAAACATAATTATTTAAGGATTGAGTTCTAATTCTAAATCCTCCACCGCACCCCTGCCCCAGAGGAGATCAGTGAAGACTTTACACTAAACCTAGTCAAGGTTGTATGGGGTACTACAAAGACAGCTCGCATTCAGCAAGACATAAGCAGCTTTTTAAATTTGATCAAATTCAATTTGACTAAATCACTTGCTTATGTATTGTACTAAGTTAGCCCTCAGCAATACTAAATGAAGGTGGTTCCCTGAAACAGCACCATTGGCAACATACCCTCTTCTACATCCTCAGGTCCATCATAAGACTTGTCAATGGCAGCTCGGAAACTCTCATTACACCCCCGACCACGGACGACATGGGGCCTGGGTCTGTGAAAAGGGAGTTCATTCTTCCTAACTTCAGCTACAGCAGTCTGAAGACTCTCAAGAGAACTGGACTTCTTCAATCCCAGGGTAGGACCAAAATCCTTGCCAGAAGTATCTGGAAAATAGTTAAGTTTTTACACATAAAACCACACAGTGAAATTAAAATTATTAAATGGGTATATTTAATTGTGTACTTTATTAGTTGAGGCCTTTGAAACAGTATGCAATCAATGTAATTTGTTCTAAAAATAACATCAAGTTAAAGCTAGTTCTGAAGAGATCCTCATTCAGACTTGGAGGGAATGGCATGTGATTTATAGACCTGACAACAGTGATGGGCAATAGCAAGCTCTCTTTGTTACTTCCAAGTCTGCACCAATGCTAAGGATGGGGTTATTTCCTCATCCTGAGAAACAGACCTTGCCTTGCAAAATGCCTTGTCTTTGAGAGTACAAAGTACTTTAGATTTCAACTTTTTACACAGATACTAACACAAGCAATAGGACAATATAAGAACAGAAGACTTTCACGTGTATGTCCATATCCTGACGCACCTGAAGAGATTTGAAAATCACAAGAAAGAATGGTATGTTAATACTACGTGATCAGTTTAGCAACCCTAGAGCACAGGTATTTCTGAACTAAGACATTGTGATGAGTTCCTAAATGGAAAATAGAGAATCATCAGTAGTGTCTACGTAAGGCAACTTATGCTTCCATTCCCTGCAGACTGAAACGTAGCTGAAAAAAGAAAGAAAAAAGAGAAAACAAGTTTAAGGAAAGCCTGGTTTCTAGGTCACAGTGCAGCCTTCTTTTGTTCACTAATTGCCATTCTGGAGACTACCATTATTGCCAAATTAGCGAGAGCTAAAATGGAGTTAGAACAGTGACTTGCATACAACACAGCGGTGCTTAAAATCACTACAAAAGCGTGCATCAGGAAGAGGCACTGTAGTGCCCATCTCAGCCTCAGAATGAGCAAAAACAGACAAGAGAAGCGTAATCACTGTAAAAAGCAGCAAAGTGAAAGACACTCTGATCAGCAGAGGAAACACTTCCTTGTTTTTCAGGCAGAAAACAGCTCTGATGGGTGGCCTGCTGCTGCGGCCCTAGGCAGGTGCAGCCCTCAGCCTGGCTGGGCCTACACTGATGGCAGCCCCAGAGCCCCACCTTGAAGCCTGAGGACTGCTATCTGCTGTGGGATGGCGGCAGGCATCCGCAGCACCTGCAAGGCCACAGCCCCACGTCCAGAAGCACACAGTGCTGTGGCTGCGATGGGCAGCAGTGCCCAAGGATCTGTCAGCACCCACTGCCTCGGGAGATCTTGCAGCCAGTGCTTGTCTCGAGGCTGCGGCAGCGCCCAGGTACCTGAAATGGCCGTGTCCAAAGCCAGCGCAAGGGTGTTTATTCACACATCCCAGGACAAGCAGTGCTATGTTAAATTAGAGTCCTCAGCTGCGTGCCTTGGTAAAAGTCTGGGGTTAAATGCCAGCTAGAGTCTGTCTCCTGCAGAGCAGAGCCAATTACTCAGACTAGAAGACTAGTGCAGCCAGTCACAGAGAACAGGCCCTGTGTCACACACGACTCTTAGACAGCTGCATGGGACACTGAGCAGTTACTGGCAAAATGTGTTTCCTCCTGTGCAAACAGCCATTACTTTGCCATTTTGTCCAGTTGAGAAGGCTCGTTTAAGGAATTAATATTAGCAGTAATTAGCAACAACTTCCTGGGTTTTTATATTTTTAAGAGAACAGTTACAGACTTACAGCAACTTCCATGTATTGTTACCAGTTTGGTATTAAAATTAGGAAAAATAATTAAATGGAGTACTCTTTGGTTGCAAAATTCAGAACAAAACTGTCTTGGAAAGTTGCATTTTTTCTTATGCCCCTAGAAGAAATAGAATTGTCTTACACACAATTAATTGGCCAAGATCATCATAAAATACCGAGCTACCTTAAAAGACAGAATAAAATGGCAAAGATTGACCATATTTCTCACTGGCAAAGAAAGTGAAATTTCATCTCTAATCTTCCTGTGTTCTACCATTTAAAAGGTGTCCTCATTTATTCAAAAGCTTACTGTGACCCCTTAGTAACAAATTACTATCAGGCATTTAGTTACCCTTTTCTAAAGCTGTAATTATTTAGTCTGAAATTTTGCTGGCAACAACTGCAAAAGTTTCTCACTTACTATCAAAATCTCCCCATAAAGAACCATCTGAATCCAGGTGAAGAATGACAGCATTTTTTCTTATTGATGACAGTAGGACCAATGCAGTTTTATTAAGAAGGCGAACATTCAGTCAGAGTTTCCTCGGGCACATCCACTAGGGTTTTCAGAGAGAACTTTTTAATTTTCCTGGTCGGCTTTCATTCCCTTTTCCTTTCATTGTAAGGCTGAAGCAATTACATACTAGTGTGCAACTAAAGAGATGGGAGCTGAGTTGTTTCCATAAGCAGGCAGGGCAGTCCCCATGCTTTCACAGGCAGCATTTATTACTGGATGCAGTACTGAGAAATGCCAGAGACTCCATAACAAACAAGTACCAAACAGACCCTCAGATAGAGAAATTTCCCTGCCCTGTCCCTCTCTGGAGACCTTTTCTGCACACCTTTAAGACAGCTCTAAGCGTGAAAACATGAGTTTTACTCATTGGTAAAAAACAAAATACTGAAAAAAACCCTCACAAAACAACAATGGAATCTCTTTAGAAGGTGTTTGTAGATGGTGTGTGATTTCTACTCATAATTGCTCATTATGAGTAGAAATGTTTCTTTTTATGCATTTTAAATTTTTGAGACCTCATTTTACTGTTTCCTACAGCATCATGATAAAAAACATCTACTTCATTACCAGTGGTGCAATATCTTATGAATGCCTTCTGAACTTCAGAAAACAACAGCTGATGTCACTATCTGCCTGATAACTCCTGAAACCAAGCTGCTGATCCCAAGATTATAGTCATAAGCAATCATCTTTTAACTAAAAGGCAGTATTACATGTAGTACCATTTTCTTTTCCACATCAACACAGTTACCAAAGTTTTTCCTCTTTATGTAATATCATGTACTTTACATTCTGTCCTCTTATTACTATTACTGTTATTATTACTTTCAGGTATTTCCAGACTTCTCTTTTTTCCCCACATATGCACATTCCATTCTCTTTCATAGTCCAGAAGGAAACATAGCAAAAGCAAGATGTAAGCCACAAAAGTCAAAGCGAAACAAGAGTGTAGAGGGCAAGGCAAGCCACCTCGAAGGCGTGTTTGCAGAGAGAAATGGAAGAGGAGCCATAACCACATAAGTACTTATTCAGGCAGGGAAAAGCAGGGTTTCTGTTGCACAGAATCATATGATATAGCAATCAGGCTGACCAACGGAGCCCTGCGGCAAAACAGTCAAAATGAATCCCTGCTGTAGGGATACCATTGGTATGAGAACGAACGAACCAGCCCTGTTAACCAATGGAAATATGTCCAAAGACACAAAATACAAAAGACTGCCAGTAAGAACATCCAGCCCTAAATAAATTGGTGTGCAAAGTGAAAAACATGGTTTTCTGTTTTGATAAACATTAGACCAAGATAGGAAACAGAAACAACAGAAAACAGGTGGACAGACATCATTCTTTCCCATAGGGCTGCGACGTTATACAGTGACTAAAATTAACTCACATTCATTTCTTTGTGAACCATTTTCTTTAATGGAGTTTCATTTTTTTATGGCAGTATACACAACAGCAAAGGATTTTTTCCCTCTCACACTTCTACATACAGGTATTTCCTCAATTGTCAACTGATTCAATGCAGAAAATGATATAGGAAGGAGGAATTTGAAAGTCATTACATCATTTAGTTCATGATTTTCAAATAAGGAGCTTTAAGAGAGTATTTCTGAAGAATAACCTCAGACCATATGGTATCCTTGTCTTCAACACTATTCAAGTATCATAGAAAAATATTATGAAGGGTTGAAAAAAGCAAGAGAAAAATCACTATCTTGCTCTCATATATTAAAGACAACATGTACCGTTTTTGCTCACTTTATACCCCAAACTGAGCATTTCAAATTAGAAGCAGGAATGCTGAACACCGAACAGCCTCACTTCTGGCAGAAATATCTAAGAAAGAGAAATCAAAGCATGGGAAAATTTAACAAGTTCCTCTGATTAAAAAGAGCCAGCTACAGGCTTCAGATTTACAGATATTTCAATCTATTTTACTACCTATAATGATTGCAACTTAGCTCAGATTTGCACAAACTGCAATTTCAACTATGAATAATGGTGGTTCACAATTTGGAGCCCTGAATGTATGCTGAGCTTTAGGCAGCTGTAGAGAACATGCTTGGAATAAGGCAGTCATTAGGCAAGAGACGAAAATGCATGACTACTGTCATCATAGCAAGGTGTGCTGGTGTTGCTGATTCCTACGGTCTTATCACTAAGAAACACTGACACTGCAAAGAAACACGTTAATATTTCAGAAACAATATGTACAGCATAAAGCATTGCTAAAGTACGAAAAAGTCACACCATGCAGAAGTATTCTCAGAGAAATGGCACATGTGGTAAAGCCAAATAAAACACAGCAAAGCCTGTCTTTGCAGGAAAGGTTGCTAAATGTTACCTGCTGAAGTAGTTTATTAGACTAGTTTAACATCTTGTATAACTTTCTGTTTCACAGGACAGTTCTACATTCATAGTTTTCCTAGGCATGGAAGGCCTCCTCCTCCAGCAGGCTACTGCCTTCTCCCTACCCATGCAAAAGGCAATACTCGCCCTCAGGATAGGCCTGAGTATAAATTAAGCTTCCTGACCTACAAAATAGGAGCTTTCTCCTCAGGGATATTTATGTATATCAAATTGATTTTAGATATAGCTGTTACAACCTGCTGGGGGAAAGCAGGTACAGGAAAAGCAATGCAGACAGGAAAAAGTCCAGTTTTTAGAAAATACGATTCCCCTGTGATTTCAGGCACCTTGTAAATTGATCAGTCTGGAATTGCAAAGTAATAAAGATTCTAGTGCCTTGTGACTGCTTTACTCCTTCTTCCACACCCACCTTCTGATAAGGTCAAAGATTTCAATCCTGTTTTAAACAATTGGGAA